AGAATCCTGGGCAGAAAAGCACCATCAATTTTAACGCCCCTGCTCTGGCCCTGGGAACTAACAACCTGGACGTCCACTCAAGAGACCTAATCTGAAAGTTGGTAATTTCAAAGACGACAGGAGGATAAATTTACAATGACGGGAAGAAACCAGCGTAAAAAAGCTGAGAATACTCAAAGTCAGAACGCCTCTCCCTCTAAAGATGATCACAGTTCCACATCAACAATGGAATGAGGCTTGATGGAGAACGAGCGCCTCCTGATGACAGAATCACTCTTCAAGGAATGGATAATAAACTTCGGTGAGTTAAAAGAACATGTTGTAGCCCAACGTAAAGAAAGTAGGAACTTTGAAAAAAGGTTTGATGAAATCCTATTGAGAATAGACAACTTAGAGAGGAGTATGAGTGAATTAATGGAACTGAAGAATACAATACAGGAACTCCGAGAAGTATGCACAGGTTTAAACACTCGAATTGTTCAAGCAGAAGAAGGGATATCAGAGGTCAAAGTCCAACTTAATGAAATAAAACGTGAAGAAAAGATTAGAGAAAAAAGGATAAAAAGGAATGAGCAAAGTCTCCAAGAAATGTGGGACTATGTGAAAAGACCAAATTTACGTTTGATAGGTGTACCTGAATGCGATGGAGAGAATGAATCCAAGTTGGAAAATACCCTTCAGGATATTATTCAGGAAAATTTTCCTAAACTAGCAAAGCAGGTCAACATTCAACCCCAGGTAATACAGAGAATACCACAAAGATATTCCTCAAGAAGAGCAACCCCAAGGCACATAATCGTTAGATTCACCAGGGTTGAAACGAAGGAGAGGATACTAAGGGCAGCCAGAGAGAAAGGTCAGATTACCCACAAAGGCAAGCCTATCAGACTTACAGCAGATCTCTTGGCAGAAACTCTACAGGCCAGAAGAGAGTGGGGGCCAATATTCAACATCCTCAAAGAACAGAACCTTCACCCCAGAATTTCATATCCAGCCAAACTAAGCTTCACAACTGAAGGAAAAATAAAATCTTTTACGAACAAGCAAGAACTCAGAGATTTTATTACCACCAGGCCTGCTTTACAAGAGCTTCTGAAAGAAGCATTACACACAGAAAGAAACAACCAGTATTAGCCTTTCTAAAAATACACCAAAAAGTAAAGAGCACCAACATAAAGAAGAATTTACACCAACAAATGGATAAAACAGCCAGTCAACATCAAATGGCAGTAACCCTAAATTTAAATTGACTGAATTCCCAATCAAAAGACACAGCCAAAACCCAACGGCATGTTACATCCAGACCTGTTTCACATGCAAGGATACACAAAGACTCAAAACAAAGGGATGGAGAAAGATTTACCAACCAAATGGAGAGCAAAAATAAATAATAAATAAATAAAAAGCAGGAGTTGCAATTCTTGTATCGGATAAAATAGATTTTAAAGCAACAAAGATATAGTGGTAAAAGGATCAATGCAACAACAAGAGCTAACGATCCTAACACCCAGATAGAAGACTTAGATTCAGTGAGACAGAAAATTAATAAGGATATCAAGGACTCGAACTCAGATCCAGAACAAGTAAACTTAATAAATATTTATAGAGCTCTCCACTTCAAATACACAAAATATATGTTCTTGTCAATACCACATCACACCTACCCATTAGTTTAAATGAAACATTGATTGGCCATTATTAATACCCAATTTTTTTCAAAATAAAGCAATATTTCCATTTACTCTCCCTCTTTCTCTTCCTCTTTCTTCCTCTCCTTTACTCATTTTTTTTTCTTTCCTTCTCTCAAAAAAATAGAAATCAACTTGTAAACCTCTAGATCCAGGTCGGCAATGTCTCTTTCATTGCTTGATTTCCTTTCTTCCCTTCCCTCCCTCCCTCCCTCCCGCTTCCTCCCTTCCTTCCTCCCTACCGTCCTTATTCCCTTCCTTCCTGCCTTCCTCCCCCCCCACAAAAAAAAAAAACTATCATACAGCATTAGTTTTCACTTGTCAAGATGGCAAAGGTAAGAAAAATCAAATAAATACATTTACGTAGGTGATGTTGAGGGCAAACAAGAACCTTCTGTACACATCACTGTGGTTATATCAGTTGGTACAACCATCATGGCAGATGCTTAATGAGGCCATTAAAATTAGTTTTTTAAACAATATTTTTAAATGCTTATAATACTAAGTTAATAAAAAGATGCAAAACATAAATAGTATGGCATCAGAAAAAAAAGTACTGAATGAAAATATATCAAAATGAAAACAATAGCTATTTCTTGATGGTGCACTAATATCACAGGTAATCCTAAATTTGTTCTTTAACCTAGTCAGCATTTTCAAACTTTACAAGCCTGTATAATTTAGAAAATGCTCCAGGGAAGTGATGAGAGATGACAAGTGGGCCTGGCTTTCAATTTCAGGCTTTTAAAGCTCACATTAAGAGATAATGGCTTACCACTTGAGTCCCTGACTTACCTGCACTCCTGGGGAAAACTGATAGAGTTGATTCTCATCATTTTTATAGAAAAACGTCATATATAGTTGCCATGATCACTGAATTAGAGAATACTAGACAGTTGCTCCTAGGATAAATACAGGATTGTGCTCCTCCAAGCCTCTGGTCACAATATTTTGCTCAGTTGGTCAATACATGACTTTGTTTTATGTGTATTTCTCTTTAAAGATACCTTACTTAACACATATTGTTGATTAGCTAACATTGTACTCTAGGCCAACAGTGCTACAACTCATACCTGAATCAAGTTTATCTAATCCACATATTTTCTCTGTAAGCCACATCTCAGCTTTCTTACACTTAGGAACACTAGACAGCATTAGTGTATTGTGCATGGGAGCCATTTAAACAGTGAAATTACTCACATAAAGCACAAAAATGTGGAAAAAGTGACACTAAATATACTGTGAAAAGGACATTTTCTTGTGAAGTAAGAGAAAAAGGGCATCATTTCATTCAACCTCAGCTGGGAATGTGTGCATTGGGCAGCTCAAATTTTTTGCCACTCTACACATGTCCATGAATTACCACAAAAGCACCACAAGTATTGATTTGGGGGTTAAAAATAAATTTTAGCAAGTAAATGAACTCAAAAATAATTACAGTTACAGTTTTAAGGAAAATTCTTAATCAAAAGAGCCAAACACCAATATTCTACAGCTACACTCCTTCATGGAGTTGCTTAAAATTGAGTACCTTGTAATTTATAAAGCATTCCCCCCCATACACACAGAAAGCATTTTCCATAATGGAAATGAAAGTAATATATTTAATCATTCATTTTATTTAATATATTCATTGTCTTCAACAAATACCATTTCTTTTATTATCCAATTAAATTCAAGCAGTAGTTACTGACTAGCTCCACATAGAGAACACAGAGAATGATCTCAGCTGAAGCAATTTATGGTCCTCTTGGGTATGTGAGGGGAGGTTGAGGAAATCTTCAATTCTAATGCAAGACAGATAGAATACAATCAAGGTCACTAAAAAGGCATCATGTGCATGAGACTGCTAAAATATAATGTGATGAGGACAAAATGAAGGAGAAAGTGCATCCTTTTGGGATTGTTTGTAAAATTTGATGGAGATGGTGATATCTGAAACGACCTTGAAGGATGAGTAAGGTGGTAAGTGGAGCTATGGGAATGGAGTGGACAAGAAGCAGCTCAAGCAAGAGCACAGAGTGGAGATGTCTCCCAGGAACAGGGTCAGAATCCAGCATGAGTGTAGAGTAGGCAAAAGGAATGGCTTCCATTATTCCTGCAAAACAAGCCATAGCGCCTTCAATGTGTTAGCAGAGAAGGGAACTGGAAGGTGAATGGCTAAATGAGGAAGGGAAAAGAGTCCAACCACCCTGATCCTGCTTCCAGAAACTTCTTGGTTCATTCTTCTTTTACATTGTGGTGGTGCCTCTTTCCCATATATCTTTAACCTCCTTAATTAGACTGCATAGGAGGCACGCAGGGATCATGCCTCACCCTTTTTAGCTCCTTCCCTCTGCCTTCTGCTCACACTTCCCAATACACAACACACCCTAACATACAAAAGATCACCCTACACCAACGCCTGCATGTCACCAGCCTTCAATAAATATTTACTCATTCACTAATTGGCTTTACAAACAAACACACTAAGCCTTTAACAAGCCCTGGTTTTTTCCCTACGAATGCAGGTTGTTCTCGTGAGTAGATGGCTAAACTTTGTAACTAGGAAGTAAGTATCCCTGAACTTCCATAGAATATATGTGTGTGGACAATAAGAATCTTTGAAAGTTCCCTGTTGACGATAGCCAGAGAAAGAAAAAAAAAAAAGAATCTTTGAAAGTGCCACAACATTATCTGTATCTACCTAAAACTGAACATTAAGAGTTCAGTAGAATCTCTAACTCTTGCAATTAAACTAGTAAATGTATATGTATGTTCTTAAAATCCTAATTTTTAGGCCGTTAAATTCAGGCCCCTTGATTCTATAATTCCTTGGAAGTTAGTATAAATTCTCATATAGTTCTTGAATTGTCTCTTGGAGTTTATAATATTAAAGGAGGTTACACATATCCAAACATTGTGTAGAAACAGGTTATTCTTTTCCCTTTTTTTTTTTTTTTTTTTTTTGAGAGAGGATCTCACTCTGTCGCCCAGACTGCAGGGTAGTGGCATGATTACAAATAGGTTTTCTACATAAAAGTATGTTAATCACAAATAGTTTATTCTATTCCCAATAAATTATTTTAATTATAAAAATATTTTAATAAACCAATTTATTAACTGCTCAAATACGCATGTTTTTGGTGGCATAATTTCAAAGAATACTAAAAATGGTAAATATTTACATTTGAGTATACCTAATGCAAAATAGCCTGTAACTTACAAATAAATTTTAGCCTATTACTTATTGCTTTTAAAATCGAATTTTCTTTTAGAAGAAAGAGGTATATTTCAAAATACACACTTCTGCAGTCAAATTATTGTACTTACTGTTTCAAAACCTCGATGTGGATGATCAGGAAATCCTCCTGGTCTACCTCCTTTAAATTCATCAAACAGTAAAAACGGATCCAGATTTTTTAACTGAAATAAAAATTTGCAGATTAGGTATGTATTTTAAGCCACAAGCATAGCCAACGAGCAACTTTTAACAACAGAAATTGCTTTCAGGAAGAACTTCTTATACACACTGATGGTTTGGTTCCATGTCCCAAAATCTCATGTTTAGCTCCCATAATTCACAAGTGTTGTAGGAGCAACCTGGTGGGAAATGACTGAATCATGGGAGCGGGTCTTTCCCATGCTGTTCTTGTGATAGTGAATGGGTCTCACAAGATCTGAGGGTTTTATTTTGTTGTTGTTGTTGTTTTGTTTTGTTTTTGAGATGGAGTCTTGCTCTGTCACCAGGCTGGAGTGCAGTGGTGCAATCTCGGCTCACTGCAACCTCTGCCTCCTGGGTTCAAGCAATTCTTTTGCCTCAGCCTCCCGAGTAGCTGGGACCACAGGTGCGTGCCAACACGTCCGGCTAATTTTTGTATTTTTAGTAGAGACGGTGTTTCACCATGTTGGTCAGCATGGTCTCAATCTCTTGACCTCGTGATACGCCCACCTTGGCCTCCCAAGATCTGTTGGTTATAAAAATGGGAGTTTCTCGGCACAAGTTCTCTTTTTTTGCCTGCTGCCACCCATGTAAGAAGTTACTTACTCCTCCTTGCCTTCCACCATGAATGTGAGGCCTCCCCAGCCACATGTAGCTGTAAATCCAGTTAAACCTCTTACTTTTGTAAATTGCCCAGTTTCAAGTATGTCTTTATCAGCAGCATGAAAACAGACTAATACACACATACACACAAGGATTCATGGATTATGTTACAGAGTTGACATTTTATGAGAAGCACAAAGAGTGGACAAACATTTTATAATCATCTAAAATATAAATAATCAATTACAAAGAAGATGTATTCTAACAGATTCACAATCTTACAGGGGAACAGACTAGAAAATCAATTATTGCAACAAGATGACAAATGCTTTGGAGGAAGACAATTTTACACATATGAGAGTGGGATGAGATCATAGAAGTTCAGGAAAACCAGAAAAATGGCACTTCATCTCTGTCCTGAAGTATATAGTTGAGTTAACCAAGTAGATGGGAGAAAGAGAGAAAGAAGGATATTCCAGGTAGAAGAGCAGAAAAACAGCTTGGCATGCTTGAAGAACTGCAGGGAAGCTACTGTGTTGGAGCAAAAGATGCATATGGAATTATGAGACACATGGGCAGATGATGGATGGCAAATCTTGAAGGAGTTTGGGTTTTATCCTGAAGGTGATGGGAGTTTTCATCAGAGTTTGATATGATCAGATTTAGAAGGATCACTCTGTGGAAGATGGTTTGGTAAAGGAAGACAGCAGACGAAGAGTATCTAGGTTATCTGAAATCGTCTGAACAAAGGCAAAGGCCAGAACCAAGGCAATGGTGGTAGTGATGGAGAGTGGTTAAATGACTGGGTAGATATTTATGAGACAGAAAGGAAGAGCATTAACTGACTTCCATATTTTTAACTATGATGTCTGGGAAGATGGTTGGGCCATTCAGCACTCAAAGAACGTAATAGAAGAAGATGCCTTGAAGTAGCTATGATGACTTCCTTTTAGGTCACACTGAATTTGAGATATCCATATAAATGTTATCTGTATAAACAGAACTATTGGTATTGAGTGCACATTGTATTATGCAAAGGCTAGCAGGCAACTAAAGATCAATCTCAAGCTCAAATGAGAGGTCGAAACAGACCTGGCTATCATCAACATATGTTTATGATTGTCTTGCTTATTCTTGACCATGTTATTTTATATTAATTCTAGAAAATTTATGAAATCCTATGAAGAAAAATTTTGAACATTTGATTGGAATTAGTTTTAATCTGTGGATCAATTTGTGAAAAACTGACATTTGTATAATATTGAGTTTTCTTCAATGTTTCCTCAATATAACCATGGTTATCCCCATTTATTTAGGTCTTTAAACATATTTCAATAAGGATTTATAATTTTCTCCATAAAGATTTTACATATATTTAAAAATTATTTTTCTAGCTAACCTATATTTTTAATGGAATTCTGCAAATAGCATTTATATATTATATTTTGAACAGTTTTCTGTTGGAAATTAGAAACATGCCAGGCAATTTCTGACCATGGCTAAGCTCTTAATTAATTTGAATGATTCATCTGTAGCTTCTTTTGGGTTTTCTTTGTAGATGTTCAAATCACCAGTGTATTTATCAATAAACTTTTGCTTAACAGCTCACAAAAGAATGTTTTTGTCTTGCATTGGATTAAAGCCATGGCAGACTGCAGTTTCTCTGGGTTTTTATAGGCCTGGCTGGCTTTGACGTCTTCTCACTCTGGGACTCAAGCGGAAACAGTAGCCACTGTGGAGGGTATTATGTTCCCATAGCCAAGGGCAGGAGCAATAAGCAAGTCAAGTCAACCATTCACAATCACATTAACACATCCCATTGGTCAAAGCATGTGACATGGCCAAGCCCGAAGTCAAAGAGGAGGGCATTTAATCCCTCCCTATGTGTTTCATGGGTAATGTACCTAAAAATGGATGGGAGTGTAAAATCCTATTCTAGAGAAGGAGTGAATATTTGGTAGTAATATTTCAACCAACATCCATTAGCAAATAACAAGGGATTTTTTTTCATTTTCAATACTTATATTTTCTATTTCTTTTTCTTGCATTTTTACAAGCTAGCATCTCTACAACAGTCTTAAGTAGAAATGATGGTGGTAGATATCCTTGTCTTGTCCCTGATTTTACAGATTGCTTTATAAAGTTTCATTGGTAATATGCTTGTTTAATGTAGGTGTTTTGTAGATTCCCTTCATAAGGTTAAAGAGTTTCCTTTCTACTTCTAGTTTACAAAGCTGTTGTTTTTTAAACATTAATGGATGTTGAATTCTGATGAATGTTTTTTCCACAGTATTGAGATACTTACATGATTTTTTCTCCTTTAATCTCTTAACGTTAATAAAATACACAAATAGATTTTCTAACATTAAACCAAATTTGCTCTCTTCAGATAATCCACAATTGGTCATGATGTATTATCTTTTAATACATTGCTGTATTTGGTTAGTTAATTTTCTATGATTCTTGCAAACATTTTCATTAATGTGATATAATTATTCTTTCACTTGCTGTCCTTGTGTGGTCCTGATAGCAAGGTAACGTCAGCTTTATGAAGTAATTTCAGGAGCACTTCCTTGGATTTTATCCCCTTGAGAGTTTGTGCATTATTAGAATTACTTACACCTTAAATATTTTGTAAAATTTGTCTGTGAAATCTTCCGGTCCTGTTGTCTTTGTTATAAAAACTTAAAATATTTATTCAATTACCCTTATGGCTATGAAACTATTCAGATTTTCCATTTTTTCTTTCTTTCTTATTGTTTTTGTGCTCTAAGAGTTTCACCAACCTCTTGGCAGCTCAGCTAATTGATTTTTCAGTAATTTATTTCAGGGTGTCTACTCTGTCTTATCACTAGAAATAAAAGTACCAAACTGTCTCAGTCTCCAATTTTATCTTTCTTGTTTTAACTTTCTATGAAAATAGATGCACACACATATACATAACATATATATTATATACACATACGTATGTATACAGTCAACAAGCTACTGCAAATTTTTTAACCTAACCAAGTTTCAAATTTCTTCATTTGAAAATGTGGACTGCAACCCATATAAAGCTGGGGTACTTTGTAGTTTATCTCAACCTGGTGTTTCATCCAGTCCAATATTTTAAAGTAATTGAAAATAAATTCAAACTGTTTATTGCATCCTCTCAAAAACACCAAAAGAGGCTTCAATTTAAAGATATGTTTAAAATCCCTCTTACCCCTCTCCATGTATATATCTGACTCCCGTGACTCCATTTTCTCTCACTCTAACTGTTCAATTCACTTCAAACCATCTGAAGACACCTCTTTTCTCTTTTCCTCCTCCCCTCTCACCTTCTGTATTAACTCTTATCTCTTTCATCAGTAACTCTCTGCCCTTTCCAGTGAAAATCAACCAAGCAAAGTTGTTTCCTTTCACTCTTGTCATTTATTAATCCACATCAGCTTATTAAAAGTCCAGGAACAAAACTGGGATTGGTAGGAGGAGAGGCTGAGAATTCTCATACCTTATTACACATTGCTTTCTCCTCACATGATAATATATACCTTTGAAGATTAAAAGGATTGAAAACAATGAATGTAGCACACCTGGTCCAGTGCTTGAATCACTGTAGGTTCTACATAGATGGGTGGTATCCATTATACTGCACCAGTCCTGTAAATATCAGAGCCGTCACTCCCCCAGGTACAAAATAAAGTGTTTGGAGGTCTAAGATAACTTTTAAATTCTATGTTGTTGTGGTTCTATTAAAATATGGGTAAAGATAGGATAAAGGAATACTGCTTCTTGGTATAAAAGAGTTTTCTATGAGCAAATATGCCCTGCTGTCAAATAAACTGTGAAAAACAAAGGTTCTCTTTTTAGTTCTACCCTTATCACCATCCACCACCCACAGAACAGTAATTGTTCATTGGTATCAAGAACTTGAAGCACTGCTGTAATGAATACCTAAAACTGGAAGTAGCCTTGGAACTGCTGCCACTTAAACAGTAGAGGCTGGAAGTCTTGAATTCACTCTAGCAAAAGCCTACATTGCTGTGAATGAACCATTAAGAGCAATTCTGGTGAGGGCCCAGAAAGAAAAGAGGAGAGCTGTAGAAAGAGTCTCAATCTTCTTTCTTTTCTTTTTTGTTTTTGTTTTGAGACAGGGTCTCATGCTATTGCCCAGGCTGGAGTGCAGTGGCATGATCTTGACTCACTGCAACCTCTACCTCCCGGGCTCAAGCAATCCACCCTCCTCAGCACCCCAAGTAGCTGGGACTACAGGTGCCAGCCACCATGCCTGGCTAATTTTTGTATTTTTTGTAGAGACGAGTTTTCACCATGTTGTCCAGGCCAGTCTTGAACTCCTGAGCTCAAGTGATTCAGCCACCTTGGCCTCCCAAAGTGC